TTTGCGAGACAGCGTTTAAACACTTCCAAGGTTTTATCCATTGTCTCCCTGTTCGTTAAACTGTTCCAATGGAGTTTCTGAATAAATTCATTTCTGGTCTTAGAAGAACGATGTTCTCATTTCTTCTTCGGCCTGAATTCCTCTGTAAAAACCACAGGCCTCCCAAGCTCACCACAGGAATACGGACGTGACTCTTGCTTGCGGGCGGTGTTACAAACGGTTATTTACGAAGCCTTTGTATGGGATGTAAACGGTTTTCCTTAAAAGAGAGAAAAAACGTTATGTTTTTAAATAAAATCGACTTACCTTATTGCCTTGTTTGTATTCTTTGTTGTTTGTCCGCGTCTCAGACCGTTTTGAAGCGTTTTCGGCGAGTTAGCGCTATTTTCACTGGGAACACCAAAATAGCGCTAACTCGCCGAAAACGCTTCAAAACGGCCTGAGACGCGGACAAACAACAAAGAATACAAACAAGGCAATAAGGTAAGTCGATTTTATTTAAAAACATAACGTTTTTTCTCTCTTTTAAGGAAAACCGTTTACATCCCATACAAGCCTTCGTAAATAACCGTTTGTAACACCGCTCGCAAGCAAGAGTCACGTCCGCGTTCCTGTAGTGAGCTTGGGCGACCCGTGTAAAAAACAAATCTTTACATTCCGTAACGGTGTAACCTTTTATACATTTGAAGAGAACTAAGTTAATCGCACTTTTTACGTTGTTTCCAAACTGTCCCATCCAGTTCGCGTTAAGACATCTTCAGCACTTGTGTCCAATGGCAACCCATGCATAAAAAATTCGTCCAGCCCTTGCATGGAGTTTATCCAGGTTCTTTATGTGCGTCTTGTTGAAAGATCCCCACACTTTCAGGCCGTATGTAACTGATGACAGTATCTATTTTTTGTAGAAGTCTTCTAATTGCTTGCGAGGGAACCTATCGCATGCGTCGGAGTAAACTTAACTTGGATGCGAAGGACTTCGCTACATTTGCAGCATGATCTGACCAGGGCAACTTGTTATCAACCTGTTCTCCGAGGAGCCTTTCTGAGGTTGTCCACTTTATGATGTTGTTGCCAGTAAATGTTGATTTCCGCTGCATGATCATTGCTTTACATTTTTCTAGGTGTAGTACCAACAAATTTCTGTCGCAACATTCCTGGAGTTCAGCTAGAACATTGTTTAGTGTGTTTGTTAGCAAATCCATAGTTTCTGCGATACAGTATTGTTGTGTCGTCTACATACAGATACGTTTCCGCAGAGCGTAGTGATTTTGGGAGGTCGTTTGTGAAGAGCGAGAATAACGTTGGTCCGAGGACCGACCCTTGCTGCACTCAGTGAGTTACGATGTATGTATCGGAGTCGCATCCGTTAATTCTGACGACTTGCCTTCGTTCTGTGAGGTAGTTCTTTAACCACAGCCAGATATCTCCTCTGATTCTAATGTCGTTCAGCCGTTTTGTAGTAATATATTGTGCGACACGGTGTCGAAAGCTTTAGTGAAATCGACAAACAGAATTCCTACATAAAGCTTTTTTTCTACTGCTTCTCTCCACCTCTCTTTTAGTTGTATTAAAAGCTTTTCTGTTGACTTTCCCTTCCTATAAGCCCATTGTCTGTTATCAAGTAAATTTCGCGTGACCACGTGATTAGTGATATTACTTGCGACGCAGGATTCCATTGATTTACTTGGTATCCTGAGCTTAGATAGTATTTTGTATCATGTAATGTCTTCCCCTCGTCCTTTTTTGAACGCTGCACTGACTCTAGCAATTTTCCACTGGTCTGGTGGCTTGAAGGCATCAACACTGTGTTTAAACAAGCTCGCGAGAGATGGGGCAAATGACAAACACGCATACTTTAAATGACGCGCAGATACGTCATCTGGCCCCACAGCTTTCTTCACTTTTAACTTATAGACCTTTTCCTCAATTTCCATCTGACTAATCGTGATGCTGGTCGTAGTCGGAATGTCTACATTCTGACGGCTATGAGGGTGAATTTCATCCGCGGGGCCAATCAATTTTTCATCAACTGTGCGGAAATAATCGTTTAACATAGTTGCCTTTTCGGTGTCATCTGTTGTGAGGTTCCCATCGTCCTCTTTAATTGGTGTGCTTGTCTGTTTACTTTTCTTGTTCCTGATGTCTTTTTCAGTAGTCTCCAGTAAGCAGCAGGGGTGTCCACTTCTTCAAATAAATTGGAAAAGTAATCAGCTTTGAGATTTTTTATCATTGTTGATACTTTACTTTTTTTAGGATAATTATGGTTTCGGAGACGTTATCTTGTTTTATAACCTGAGCATTTAAGCACTTGAGCATTTTTAACTCTTCCAACTAAACAAGGAAGAAAATATCAAGCATATAAAGCTACAAAATTGTTGATTGATAAAAACGTTACGGCTGTGCCCATACATGACCCATTATACATTCTTCGTAAAATTTCGACACAACTTTTTCTTAATTTCTCCGAAAATATATTTTAACAAAAGTAAAACTGAAAAAAGTAATCACCTCTAGCAGTATACAAAATGTCTTGGCAACGACCTCAATGAGCCGTAACGAGAAAGGGATCATTTTCCCTTACCATTACCTAAATCTTTCTATTTGAAAATTTTAAGCTACTAGGGGTAATAATGTGAATATAGCAAGGCTGAAATATTTCCTTTTTCACTTTTCTTACGAAACCAAAAAATTAGATTTGCCGAGGCGGCTTACATGAACCCAGACTATTTTTGATAAACGGCTTCAAATGTTTATACTGTTACGAAACACTTTGGCCTATTGTAAGTCATGGCAAGCACACCAACCTTTTTTTTACATGTGTCACTTTATTTAGAACACTGTTTTTGTTGTACCTAACCGTGAACTGGAACGCACTAAAGCTGAGAAATGAGACTGATTTTATAGCCTTCAGTATCAAGCATTTTAATATTAGGCTAATATTTAGATATGCATTATTATTAGATGGATTATTCAGCTATTTGTATGATTTAAGTCATTTCTGACATTTTTGAATGAAGCTTACGTAGAACAGTACAAACAACTCCTAATAATACAAATTTACACTCATATTAATTCAAGTTTTAGTTCAGTTCTATGGATTGATTGAGTCACCAGCTTGCATTATACTGAAACCTAAATATAGCAAGTGAGGTTAGTAGGGAAGGTTATAGACGGTTTATTAACAGAGCATGCACATTGTGGCTCTTCATCTGTTGCTGGTATCTAGAAATATCTAAAGTTCACTATAAAAATATAATATTGAGAAAATTATCAAAGGGATGTAAGTAGCTAAAAAGAGGAAAAGGGACTGGACTGGAAACCACCACGGTGAGCGGGAAAATGAAAAACGGGAACAAAACCTAACTTGAACTTAAGCCCCATCAGTAACTTCGTTAACCACATTTCTCCGTTCTCCCCGTGACATCCGCGATTAAAGTAGAAAAATAACACAGAAATATCTCAGGGCAACAAAACTAAACGAAATAACAAAACTGCCTAATGTACGTTTTTGGCAAAACTATTTTCCCACTGAAAATTAAAAAAAAGAGTAACTTTTTATTCCTGTTAAATTTTGTCACAATTAGTCAGCTCAAGCTAGTCACTCTCAAAAAATGCTGACAAATGATTTAATTATAGTAACGATTGATAGTTCGAAAATAACTTTTATCACCTATAAATTAAGTGCATGGGTTGCTCACCGACCAACAGTTCAAACAAAAGTCTCAGAAGAATCAAAGAGATATCCCTTAACATTTTCAAGAAGTAGAATTGGAACCAAAGTTTCTTCGACATGGCCCTCGCTTTCGGATTCCCGACTTTTCATCCAACTAGGTAAGCCTTTCAAAATTATAATTTTTCTTCGCTGCAAGTAATTGAGTTATCAGTATCTAAGAGCAATTTTGTTTTCACATCGTTTTTTAGGGTCTAACACAGGTTTTTTTTGGTATACAGTATAATGGACTCTCTGAAATTGGTTAAACGAATACAGTGTTTTCTTTAGGTTTCGATATGTTGAAAAAAATTAGTGGATTATTTTCGTTTATAACCGATCAAGGTAAAACGAGAATTAGAAGGGAGAGGAGGCCAGGGGCGGGGGGGAGGGGGGGGAGTATTGCGGGGGAAATGCAGCGAAATGCCCTAGTGTTCTTCCCTGGTTTGGCCTCAATCCAGCTTTTCAGTGCACAGTTGTTTTATAGAAAGCTAATGAAATTCCTCCTTGCGAATTACCTTTCGAAAAATTACTATCCGAAAAAAAGGTCACTAGAGAGTACCGACCTGCCAGACAAGAAACCCCCTGGACCACTCTGATTCGTTTAATTTTTCTTATGACCTTATCCACACTTGACTGTTTGTACGTTTGTTATTTTCTTTCCAAGTTATGCGCATATCTTTTGGTTAGCTTGACATCTTTGAGGGCCACAAGTTTTCAGTTTTTAACTGGCTGTCGTCACGCACTGTAACTAAAGTTGATTATGATCAGAGATCATGATATTAATTATGGTTATGATTATGATTCGGTCCTAGAAACCCTTGCCTTAGCCTAAACTGAAAACCTTGCAACTTCGCCCAGTTTCTGTCGCTAGGGTCAGGGAAATAGGATCAGCCTGATGAGCTCAGTTAGGCGATTTAGGAACTGGATGGGCGATAAACCTGAATATCCTCACAGCAGAGTGCCTTAAAGCTTCCTATTCTTTCTCTTCTTTATTTCAGACATTTTCCTACTTTATTCGTTAACGCTTAAAGCAAAACAAATTTAACATTACATATGTATTATCACCACTGATTTGCAAACGCGACAAACCCAATGTTTTGTTCTGCCAGCGTCAGTCAGACAGGCGTTTAAATTCGGCAATTCAAAATTTCACGGAAACATTTTTATTTACATTGTAAAGAAAATCCGACTTGCAAATTTTTAAGGCAACTGAGATGTTTTGGTCCAGTTAGTCTCACCAACTCCAGGCAAAATAACAATTTTCTTTTGTTTCATTTTCAGCTACAACAGCTTCTTCAATCAAGTTGTCCCAGGTTATCGGTTTTTGCAAGATTTATGGAGGAGCACAGCTCTCTTCTGCGAGGAACAGGCTCGGAAGAGGAAACTAATGAAGACATATTCGGGCCCAGTCATAATTGCTTGGCTGCCACTGAACCAGTACAAACCAGAAGAAATTTCAATCTGTGTTGACGACGAAAATATAACGTTACACGGCCAGCATCGATCCGAAGGAGAAGATGGATTTGAGAATAGTGAGTTCATGAAAATCATTAAGCTCCCGCAAGACATAGATCCCACAACAGTGACATCACATGTAACCAGAAATGGTAGCGTTCTAGTCCTCAATGGCATCAAACGCCTTGAAAAGAAAATAAAAGCAAACGATGACAAGTTTGTTGCTAAATTAAATCTGCGTGGATTTAAACCAGAAGAAATCAAGATCCAGAGTCGAGGAAATGAGCTCATGGTCATAGCAAAACACGGATCGGAGGAAGATGGTTCACGTGATTACAGGCGTCGCATTTTGCTGCCCGATGACGCAGACGTCAGTTCATTGACGTCACGCCTCTGCAGTAACGGCGTGCTAATTATAGAAGTGTCACGTGACCAAGCGTTCTCACAAGACGAGGCAAAACAAGAAGCAAGTGGTAACACAGAATTCAATCGGCGTGAATGAACCACGTTCACTTGGCGGATTGTACAGAATCACTCTCTACATTATTTTTTGAAATATTTATTACATTTCTTATTAAAGTTATAATTTTAAAGTGCAACCTCGGCACACTCTGTTAAACCTAGTGATGCATCATGATAATTTTATTGTGATATCTTTAGTTTAGATTTTTGCTTAATTTTCAGTTTTTAATTCAGTGGTTTTTAATCATCAGACAAACATGTTCCAATGCGTTAAGTACCGATTAAAAGAAATATTTTACACTTTAGTTAAAATGTATATCAGATCAGTTATCAGTTTTTATCCAAACTTCTTTGTCTATATATAGTATAGTTCTTGATATTTTAAGTTTTTGGGATTGTAAACCTTTGGAATATAAGTTAATGAAAGTTATTATAGGTCTGTATATAGTACAGGAACAATAAAATGTTTAAATGAGCATCTAACTGGGTTGTGTTTCCTTTTAATTATCGTTCTTTTTGACCACTTTTTACCTCTAGATGATGTAGTCTCAATGAGGGGATAGTCTGTCGGTATTTTTCTATCTAAAGCAGAAGCTTCTTTGGTCTCTTT